AATTGTACATTTCTTTTGTATTTGATTACTTTATACAAACAGTGAAGCAGTTATTCCAGTTTGATTGACTTTTTTTCTTCAAAATAGACGTTTATTTTTGTCCTGAGGGTAACTCAAATGGCAGGTGAGTAAATACCGGATAGCTGGATGGAGTATGAGAAAACCGTAACGCACTAACTTGGCATTGGTAGCCAGCTCGCGACACTTCCTCAAATATTCTCGTCTCATTTTCTTAACCTTCACTCTCTTGCAAGCTCTGATCCACACATAAAGGACACGTTCAACATGTCACGAGCGATAATTTGTGGAAGAAATTGAATGCTACGAAATCTAACAACAAGGTGGTTAAGTGAATGACATCTATGGAGTATCTCCGAATGCCGAATCAGTGTTGGTGGTGGTCTATTGAAAGTCAAACATTGAAGAAGTTTGTAATTCTACTTGAGGCTAAGGAAACCGAACTGATATGTTACTATTTGATAAATTGATCGAAACGACATTTCTATGGAAGTCAATTCTATGAGAAAACTTATTTAACAATCTAGGTTGGTTGGTTAAGAGTTGGCCTAAAACATCTTAATAATGTCAACACATTTGGAGTACTCGCTCAATGAACTTCACACTTTTATAGGGAGCAAAATAATCATTCCTTCTAAAATTACTTGACCTTATGAAAGTGTTAACATTTCAAACGACTCACAACATGTTAGTGGATGATTTTTCGTTGTGATAAGGGTATAGTAACAATAAAACAATAGGTCTGTTTAAGATTCACATATACAGAAAATCTTTCAGCAATCAGAATAGTTACATTATTATTATTACAGTGGAAGCATACTTCCTTAGTTCAAACTGTAGATGAGGTTCTGAATAATATTTAGACTGAATAAGCAAGAGAAAATTTATAATTAAACACCATTCAAACTAAGTAGCCATTTTATTGTAACTGTTATGATGAATGATTAAATATTTTGGTTGGAATGTGTCAAACAGAGCAGTGAAGATATGTGTATGACATTCTATTGTTATTAAGTCTAAAGTTTTATGGAAATAGTTCTCTGCCAATCAGCACTGCTAGCTACAAAGTATTTCTGTTTATAACAAGTTTATAAAGTAGATTTGTCTTTTGAAAGTGATGTTCCCTTTGAAAATGTGGATTGTGATTATTACACTGAAGTAGCCTAGAAAAGTGTGTTGAACCAAAAAAGTGAAATCACTTTAATTATAACAGCGTTGTACTCGTGAAGTCTTCAGTGAAAGCTGATAATTAGACTTTCGAAAAAGCACGAACTCACAAATCTGATTAACATGATATGAGTAACAGTCACATGAATATCATATGTCCTGTTAAATTCATCTTACCGAACACAAGGTATATAAATGATATAACGAAGAGATTAAGAGTCATCGACACTGCAGTATGAAGTCATTTGGTGGAGTCAGTTTGGCACTCTTCAGCATAATACAACTTCTTGTGGCATTTTCGAACTGTGAGTTTATGAGTGATTATGGTGATAATAATAACCTAATAATTAAAACTATCAGTTTAATCTCTACATTTTACTGAGAAAAGACTGATTTACTGAAAACATATGCACATATTACAACGCACATGATATTGTAGTGACCTACTTTTATCAAGAGAGCGCGACTGGTGTAATGGAAACAATTATTATTATTATAACCAATTGTACTAGGGGTTGTTTTACCGTACTTGTTTGTTAAACTGTACTAAAATATACATACATTCTTCCGTTGATTGTGACCTTGCACGAACTCGGTTACGCTCAGTAACCACACTTGTAACCTGGTACGATCTCGGTATTCCATCGGTACCATGAGATCGCCAACAAATACATCTCAACTACAACCATCAACTGCCTTCTGATACTAGACATACGGGGGATCTTATCGATTAACTGGCACGTAGTATTCATGTGGTGTTGATCATAGTCAACCGTGACTCGAAACCACACTACAATTTCAAGCAAAGAAAATCAATGGCCATAGCTTCGATTGACCATTGGCTGAGAGAGTGATTAAACATTTCATACCAGTGAAAACTGCCGACCACTAGCTTTAGATCGTAACAGTCGTCCTTTATAGTTAATAATAATGTAAAGTGTTTATACATTTTAATTTGGTTTGTCATTGTTTAAATCACCTCGTTGGTAATATTTCGACAGTAAAATGATTATTCGACGTTATGATATGTGCCAGCATGACACAAGTTCATTTAGACATAAAGAGTTGATCAGACCCAGAATAGTCGAAACGGATATTACTGGATATTATGTGTTGGATAATCTACGGACTCAGCTTAGTCAATAATGTAGCAAATCAACACAGATTAGTGATAAATTGATTGAATGACAGAATAACCACTTCCAGTTTCATCTAACGAATACGACGATATGATCAGTAGTTTGTCCGAATTATCATGTCTCTTCGAATTTCGGTATTACACCCGATTACACTGTTTCAATGCCGGAGAAAATCTAACTAATATATCTCGCATTTGTTTTGAAGAGAAACAACTGGTATGTTTCTACACGGTGATTCCTTCACATACATTTGTATATATATCCATATAATCTTAGGTCATGAAATGATCAAGAGGACTAATATCAAAACCATGACAGCATGTAATAGTGTGATAGTTATTAAATAAATCAAAAACATGAAATTAGCGTAATCGGTGAATTTAATACACCGTTAGATAGAAATTATTTCATTAAATTGATAACAATCAGTTTAATATGATTTGGCAATCTTATTGAATTTGGGAATGATCGTAGGCTTCAATTGATAGGAAGTAATGGTCAATGTGAAACAAAGAATTCAGCCGTCTCTGCACTAGTCCTTTTGTAAAATTACTGATTGGACTTATACAATTCAATGCATTTTGATTAACAGGTGATGGTTGGGGTGAGTCATTTCATCAGTGTTCTAGATGTGATCCAACTTTTACAACTAATCCGTAAACGTGTTCTCATATATCAATCATTCGTTATTTTAGCAATCTAACGTTTGCTTCTTTCACATACACAAACACTAGGTGTACCATTTTAAAATACTGATTATTATCATTATTAATGACTTTACTCAATATTTTGTTTTTGGCATAATGTAGAATCCTGAGCACAAGTTATTTCAACAAGTTTCTCTTAGTAAGAGAGAACGGAGTGAGAGATACCAATAGCTGCATACATACATGAATTTATTAGATAAACTACCTGGATAGAACAAACGAAATGTTTCTTCTTAAAGAAGAATTGAATCTGTACAACATTTGAATTAGAAACATATTTAGAATATATGTTTTCGACTACGTCAGCTCTAGCAATCTGTTTGTCACGTGCAATATATTTGCTAGATGCAGTAATATTTGGCTTTTATAATTTTGCTTGTGTGCATGGATTTCTATGTATTGCCTTTTCGATCTATCAGAAGATATACAAGGAGAAAGTGACAAATGAAATTGATGTTTAATATCTGATAAGGTAACACCCGTCAGGAATTTGTGACATTATAGATGTCTTTCCACAGATGTATTATTAATGACTATGAGAGATTCACCACACACCCTACTAACTGCCTTCAACACTTTCTTCAATACAGTGAAGTATCTTCTCAAAAGCATAGGGAAGAATAATGGAGAACAGTAGAGAATAAAAGGTGATCTGAAAGAATCGACAGATCATTGGATTAAATGTCGACTAATCCCGAAAGTGTACAGCCTCTTTATGTAATAGGTCAAACGGTAAACGTCATTCAATAACAGTGCAATTCATGTCTCAGATCAAATTTAACAGTTTTACGTTTTCGAATTAATAACAGATAACTGTTCCATATGAGACAAGATCTCATTCATATCGATGGGATATAAATAGGAAGAAACCAGCATACATACAGTGAGGTCGTTTGCATATTTAACAAGTGTTCTTTGTGAGAGATGACAGGTTATGCAAAAAGCTGTTCTCTAATTTTCGATGATATTTAAATTTTTCCTCATAAATTATTTTTAACATCCACTATCAGTCTCTTGACTAGTGACGCATTCTCGAAAAGATATATATGTATGGCACTTTGAGGAAGAAACTTAGGTCATACCGCTTCACTCGACAGAAACACGTTAATACAAATTGATAGGACTATTTACATAATTAGCTCAACGTTACACATTGGAATTACAAATTATTCGAGTACGTACTTGTTGACAATATCGAGTTCTAGTCAAATACCCTACATTTCAATAATGCTACGTATGCACCATTGTGATGGTTTTCGTGTTATTCAGCAAGGGTTTTGTTCGTTTTTCAAAAAGTTTAACACCTTAAATTCAAGAAGAACTATATGAATTTGCTAACTTTTGTCCCTCTTAAAGAGGTTTTCTGTTGACTGACTATAACTGAAAATGTTTTTCCAGTTTATTTCCCAATTTATCAATCAATCAGGAAAATCATGCACAAATATAGGAACGAAAATTAAACCAATGGGAGACACAACCATAACAAAGAAGTAAACAATGACAATTTTAAGGTCAATAAGAACCAATCAACATCGAGGTGTACAGAACAATCTGTGCAAGGCACATGGAGAAATCCGAACACTTCACTTCTATCTGAATTTTGTGCTGATGATGTCGTTCAGAAGAACGATGAAAGCTTCACGACCAAACCATCCATCTCAGAGAGCGAAACCCCACTAGAAAAAATTACCTGGATTAATATTTATCGTTCATTTTACAAAATGAACGTGGAATATACTCGTGAAATGTCGAATAGAAGTGTTTTCTGACAGCAGAGTAGATAAACATTCTCATGAATGTGAATGTGTATTGGATAAGAGCCATGAAGTTATTATAATAATAAACATAAATCACTTATGATTAATAACACTATACATTTAATTGTCATGTGAATGTTATATTTTCTGTCATATATTAAGCATAAATATATGAAAGAATTATCTGCTTATTAAATCATCAAAATAACAAAATGAAATTATCTACTACAGATTGTTTCATTGTATTCTGTGTGATCCATCTAATTGTTACAGATCCTATTAGTAAGTTAATCAAATGTTATGAATATAAGTGTACTATTTTTTTGGTGGAATTTCGTTCTCTGTCCTGGATGTTTTAGTCGCGGAGCTTTCATCGTTCTTCTGAACGACATCATCAGCACAAACTTCAGACAAACTTCGAACACCACCAAAATCATCCACTTGAGCTACAAACCTTCTCCACCATCTCATAAGTGTACTATATTTATAGAACATTAAACTATGTATTCATATTTAATAAATACATTTGAATAAAATTCATATGGTGTTATTTTACTTGTATGTTCGCATTGTTATTTAAGACTGAATTAGCACATGTGCATCCTGTGCGGATTGCCTTGATATAGCCTTACGTCATCAGCTTTTTAACCAAAGATGGATAGTGGCTAGCATTGGAATCCAAGACGCGCGTTTAGTCCTTTTGAATAAAGGTTCATCCAGCCACTATTCATGATTGCTTAAAAAAAATTGAAAAAAATGAAAATGTACATTATAAAAATTATGCATAATCATAATGCAAAAGAATCTGATCCTCATAGTCCCTGCAATACATTTGCTTATATTGTTATTATTTCACAACAGTTAGATTAGTGTTTCTGGCTTATTGATGTTCAAATAATAGTTAGATATACTTTATTTGAAGGTAGTGAACTGTAAAATGTTTTGAAATGGTTCATAGAACTGATCATTTTGAGCTCATAATATTATGTTATAAACCATGGTTTAGTTTTAGTTTGAAAATAATTCCATTCTACACAGTCGTATAGGATTTACAATTCCACTGACTTAACAAAGTACGTGGAAACAGTAAATTGACAATAAATTTTTGTATTGATACCATCATGTTTCCTTAGTACAACTTGTATTCATAAAACCCAATGTTTTTGGTTTTATCAGATGCCGGTTCCAGTAAGTCAATAATACGTGATTCATTTGTAGATATGCAGTAATATATAATATTTAACTTGATTTTATAAATGAACACAAGACCTATTTACGAAAGGACGAAGGAGGTACTTCATATATTAATTGTTTATTGAATAATGAAGAAATTCAGGTGAATTGAAAATAGCGATATCTCAGTAGTATCACTATAGTTTTAGGGAGTGAATTCTCTTTTTATTTTCACAATACTACACTTCTGAAAATGTTAGACCTTGCAAACTGAAAGTGATAAGTTAGTGCCCTTAACTATAATGATCGTGCTTAAACTTGTGTCAAATTTTGAAATGATCATATTTCCGTATATTACTATGGCTTTTTGAATTTTGATTGGGTTATTTCATTGTTTATTGTGATATTTTTTCCAGTTTTCCTTGTTTAACGTCAAAATTTACAAAACTAAGTGACGACGTTCATTTTGACCATAAGCAGCCTAATGAATAACTACGATTGATCAGCTAATCGTCTATGAATACTGAATTATCTGTTAGTTCTGAAAACTATGTTCCTAAATACATTTACAATTATTTGTCTGAGTGTAGTGAAAAATTGAATCACACGGATTACATTCTCATTACGGTGTACATAATTTGACCCACGACGTTCAACGCCTGCCATTTGGTTTATTGAAAAATGAACAGTATTAGCCAAATCGCAACGACAAAAGCTTAGCAGAATCATTACAGTTTAATAAAGCTCATTGGTGAGACTATAATTGATAGACGACCATTGAGCGACTCAAGATTAACCTATGAGTGTTCACTTCATAACCAGGACCAAATGAGTGGCAAAACCTATGTGAGGACCAAGAATTATGATTTACAGTTGAAGGTTAAGGTTGGGAGTTAGATTTATGATTTTCATCAAGAACTGACATCAGCCACAATGCCGAAACTCAATTTATTCAAATGTGTGAGTGAATGTTGCGCCAAAATCCGTAACCTGTTATCTAATACTTGATTGGTACGTCCATAAATTGTAGTCTCGCCGGACAGTAGCATGATTGTACCACTGATTCAAATTGAGGCCCTTCAATTTCTTTTGAATGAATTGAAAACAACTAACACACTTTTCCAGTTTATGATCAACAATAATGAGGTGTTGAATATTCAATCAAATGTCTAGTTGTTTTCTGTACAATGTTGTTGTTTATTCATGCCAAATGTCGAAATGAACTAAACTTTTCTTGTTAAAGAACGTACCGAACAATTTCTATGTTAATAGGTCAAGAAAATAGTAAGTTATTTATTGGGTTTTAATTTTGAACATTTATCACTCTAATAAATTGTGATTGTTCAGTTAATTTAATCTTAGGATTTCCTAAGGATATTGAACAGTTATGTTATATTGATTGTGCAATATTTGATAAACTAACGGTTGTTTGTAAAATCTCCATACGTGATTGAATAGATTTATGTACGATCAACAAACTGTTTTGTTTCTTCGAAAATGTTAATTAATTCAAATCGGAACCATTAATTAGTAGCATTGGTTTATTAAGTGAACAACAAGGAATGAATATCCAGTTCAATGTATATACACTTCAGTTCAGTGTATATATATTTCACTATGTCCAACATCCATCTGTTGTTCACCGAATACGGAACACGATTTGGATGAGTCAGAAGTGGAAATTCTTAACCGGATAATTGTAGTTTAAGAGGGTTGATTCTTGACTTTGTCACATTATTGTAATCCAGTGAATAAATCAGCTTGTTTCATGGAAAAAAGTGGGATAAGTGAATGATTTGTACTGGTCATTATATAACGAAATTAAAGTGAACACATTTCTGTTATTCAGGATTACCATGGAGTAAGTTATTCCTTTGAATTTTGTTTAGTAGTATCTGAAAAGACAAGACTATGAGCTACGTGAAATTACTTGACTTAATGAAGGGTGGATAAAATTTGAGCAAATAAACACTTATGTTAACTCATCTGTGATAGCTAGCAAAATTCACGTGTATGCGGATTCATTTCTCTTCATTGAGCAGACTTTGTGTTGTTGTTTTGAAATAGTAACTTATTGAATTTTATCCACGATCTGAACACACAGATTATTTATCCAATACGTTGCATCATGTGTCACATCAGCTTGTTGCTCACAGAATAAGGAACAGTATGTGGACGATTTAAAAAAATGGAGAGTGTTTAACAGAATCATTGATAATATATCAATGACAGTGGAAAATTCATTTCAATCATGCTGTTATACATTGTAAACATTTACATGATGAGAATGAGAGTAACATTCATTTCTTACCACTAATTTAAATCGAATCGCTAAAATTGTGCTGATTAAATTAGATGCGAATCGAGAAATCTATTCAGTATGTGCTGAATAACTAAATGATTTTCTGATTTATCACCAGAACATTGTTTACGTTTCACTTGCATCAGTAAGATTTTATGATGTGGCGCATAATATCTTTTGCTAAACTCTTTTCATTAACCAGATTATCGATGGTGTAAGCTAACCATTTTCTGTTTTTGCAACTACTTCGATTTAATTATCTAAATTCAGTTACATTTGGACATAAGTCAATCGAAAATACATTTAACAATTAACTAGTTCATTTATAACAAACAGACAAATGTATCGTTTTTGGGTAAAAATCTACCATGATGAACGATATTCAGCTAAACTGAAATGAATGAATTTTAACGTAACGGATGGGTATTGTAAAACTTGCCTTTTTACTCGGACTCATTGCGCAAATCAGAACGCTGATTAGCAGGTACTGTTGAAGTAACTACTGAAACACTTCGATTAATGTTTAACGAATCATAAACAGATCCTGAATCCAATCAAGCAATTAATGTGATCATTTGAACCAAACCATTTGACAGTACATATAATTTGAAATTATTTATCTGAGGAAGCCGGATATCGTGGATTAACGAGATGTTTAAATACTGAAATATAAATTACTTGAAAATGCTTTTGTAAAGTGATCACATGTGTGTGAGTAATGTAATCTAGCAGATAAGAGCAATTAAACATGTAAGGACACGGTGATTTTGCATGATACAGGCATTGATCTTTGGCACATAGAAGAATGTTAGTATAACTGAAAATGAGATGAAAAGCTGAGAGTCATTAAACGCATTTTCAAAGATGCCGTCTGTCGATTTTATTTAATATTTCTGAAGCATTATCTTTTTTACATACAATGTTCATGAAGTACGTTTTCTAAGGACTGTGTGAGATCCTACATATTGCAGAAAACGTCCCCTACTTCCCTCAATGGATGAAGAAACATTTTGATGAGTAGTAGATGAAGCTGGATAGGATCTCGGTCAAGTGTATAATTAGAGAATAATTACCTAGCTCTGCAAGGTAATGAATTATTTTTATTTTTATTTTTGAAGGAACTTAGTTATCTTCATCTTCTTTTATCAAAGTTTAAACTTAATGAACGTTTAAATTGATGCATTTTTTTCAAACACTTTCTTAAATAAGACTTTCATAATTGTAAGTTGTAAATTCTGTTTTCTATTCATGTGCACCAGCTGTCCCGATTTGGTCGAACTAATCTATCAAGTTAACTTAAGAGCACCTCTGTATTACTCATTAGCAACAGTGGTTCCAGCGTAAACGACAATGAATTTGGACCTCAATCATTCACTGTTTTCATACACTGAAAAGATCTCAGCTGTAATAAAATAGAGAAACCCTAAGAGATTTATTGTAGTCCTGAATTATAGGTACTTTATTAACTTTATACGGATGTAGGCTGCATAAATTTAACATATTTCACTGTGCATCATGGTGAAAATAAAAAGGTAGTTAGTTTTTATTACTGATCTAAACATAAACGCTTCAATCTACTACGAATAAATCAGAAACAACTTAAAGATTCTCCCAGTTCTTTTTCTTGAATAATTATTCCATTTATTACAGCAGTATTTATTTTAGTTCCATGTATGTCACCGTTACCAAACATTCTATTGTTGTATCTAATTTAACTATACATATCTATTTCATCCAACTCAGTGTTTTGTAAGTCACAGCTCGTGTTTGATTTGTAAATGTCTGTCATTATATTATTATTCAATCTGAGTAAATTAAATATCTATGAGACAATTTAGCGATAGACAATGCAAAGAACTTTTCACCGACTAAGAAATGTTCTTAATTTCTGCAACTGGCATTACAATAGCTCGGTTTTATCGATTCAATCATTTAGTTCTTAAGAAAATATTAATTAGTTTGAAGCTGAACAATTAATTCTTAGCACTGATTTACTAGGTAAGTAACGGAATGAATATCCAGTTCAGTTCTCCACGACCAACATCTATCTGTTGTTCACTGAATAAGGAGCACAATTTGAGTGAGTTGAAACTGGAAATTCACAACGGGATAACCATAGCTTAGGAAGGAGGATTCTTGATCTTTTCACATTATTGCACATTGTAATCCACTGAATAATTCAACTTGTTTCGTGGTGAAATCGGAATACGTGACTGAATTATTCCGCTTGTCTTCACACGAAATCCTTAGGTAGTTATTCTGGAAAACGTTTCTGAATCTCTTTAGTTGATGTCACCTCATTCTGGCTTTTCGAAAACCGATATTGTGATTTAATTGTTCATGGTGTAGTGTATGCCAATTATATCGACAAATATTAGTAATATCAACCAGAAGTAGAGTGTCCGATGGCAGAAGGTAAGGAAGATCAACTTGAAAGAATGCGAATGTAAACAGAGTGTAATCATACAGGTAATGAAGGAACAATGAAAGTCGAGACAATTTTAAGTGACTTATATTTTTGTGAACGCGTCAGACTTATGTTGTTTTTGTCAATGCTACTTTTGCTTTCAACAGATCTCAGATGTAAAAGTAAGTTAGAACTCAAGTTTAGAGCAGATAATATCTATTTGAGATTGCATCTAATCAATTACTTATCTGATCACAACTAGAATTATACGTAATCTATCATTTGTCTTAATGTCATGTTCAGTAACCTAATGAGATGAAGGATTGCATTTGCCTACACGTTCATGTACTGTGTACAAAGGAACTACCTCTTCTACAAAGAACACGTATAAAATGAGGAAAAACAATGACGGTGTAACAACAAATATATTTAATACGATAGAAAAGCTGATAGCATATGTAGCTCAGAACTCTTTCGTTACATTCAACTTGTATTTTGTGAAATGATAATACCCTTGTTTAACAAACCTCGATGAACGGCTTAATTTGAAACATTCCAGTTAGTGGTGAAAGTAAGTAATCATAAGAAATCTCATTGTTGTTGTTATTCTCACTTTTGTTTGCACTTAACAGATAAATATATTTTAATTTTACCCATAAACTTTTGAATTACCTCATTTGTGATATTTTTTACATAGATTTCCTAGGTTTTATTTGGTATATGTGCACCCGATACGGGCTGTCTCTATATCATCATTATGATACACGTTTACGTTAAATAGATGTTATGCTGCAATTTCTAGAATCAAGGACACGGAACGCGTGCTATTCGATGCTTATCTGATGGATATCTCTGCGTCACATAATTGTTGTTGTCGTTTAGGGAGCGATAGGTGATGAATTCAAACTCAATAAAAACACCAACTATTCATATTCATAAACATTGAGCTCACAAATCATTAGCGTGTTGAAACGAGTATTATGAACTCCACAACTAACGAAATTCCATCCATTGTTAATAAACTATATAAGTGTAATATTTTCTAATATAAATGTGAGCGTTTTTAATGACGATTAATCCTCACAATTCACACTTCACAGAGTTCAGATGTTGCGGTATGTCTCGTTTTTATGTATGAAGTTTATAGCTTTTAATATAAATAACAGTTTAGTCATAGATTGAGGCACAATGTTCAAAAAAGGGTTTTATCGTATTTTACAAGAACAGTATGTTAGTGATCTTCATGTGAATATATATCATTAGTGTTAGCATTAGTGTAAATATTTCTTCCCTAGCTACTGTAATTTCGTTTGTAGAAATAATACACTGAAGGACAACGTACAATCCATAAATCTCCACAATGGTGTCTCAAAATAACCTGACACTCGTATTTTTATGGAAAAAATGTTTTGAAGATTAGAATGCAATTGTACTGTAGTGGACGACGACACAATTGGGGACGATCAAATATATTTCAATACATTATAGAATATCTTGTCAAAGTCGGAGAATCATACAGTAAAAACCTTATTTTCAAAATATCCACCAATTGTCTCAGACTTTGTATGTCCTTCGTTTCCATATCAATTACTCTCTGTTCTCGTTCTCTTCTCTTCGATTTTCTCAACCTTCTGCAGCCAGACATTCCACATTCGGTTGGTGATACATACTACTGATATCTGTTGACATCAGCGGCACACAGCATACTCGTGCCTTTTCAAAATAGTCGTTCTTGTGGTTGTTCTTTCAAGCAAACAGTCCCACGGCTTTTTTCAAATAGCCACGGTAAAAACTTATCAATATTGGGAAGATAGTGAACTGCCAAGATAATATGGTTAATTTACTCATGCTCCAATAGTTAACCTCAGTTTCAGAGTACAATGAAAATTAACTTTTACAACAAATAAACCGTGTTAGTTACTAATCTGAAGGTCTGTACAAAGCAGAACAAGTCAGAAGATAACCATTAGGTGTTTTGTCAACCCAAACAATTAACTCAATTGTATTTGCTTCCTGTCCTTCGCAAATGTGATTCTAACTTGATATTCAATGTTTTATATGATATCCGGATTTATTGCATTTGCTACAGTCATTGTGACCAATGGCATTCATGACCGATTTTCATTAACGTTTCCTTAATACCCGTGTTCTAAAAATTATGAAATGAAAAATGACTTCTTCTTTTGTTTAATCTACAACTTACTTAGTTACGCCTGTTACTCCTCGTGAAGGAGCATAAGTCGTTCAGCAGTATTCTCCATCCAATCTTGTCTTGGGCAATTCTTTCCAGCTCCTTCCAGTTGTTATTCATCTTTTTTATATCTGCTTCTATTTCTCGACGTAATGTGTTCTTTGGTCTTCCTCTTTTCCGCTTTCCTTCAGGATTCCAAGCTAGGGTTTGGCATGCGATGCAGTTTGGTGATTTGCGTAATGTATGCCCTATCCATTTCCATCGTCTTTTCCAAATCTCCTGTTCAGCTGGCAGCTGGTTTGTTCTCTCCCACAAAAGCTGTTGCTGATTGTATCCGGCCAATGGGTGTTGAGTATCTTGCGTAGGCAGCTATTTATAGGTACTTGTACCTTCTTGCTGGTGGTTGTTGTAGTTCTCCAAGTTTCAGCTCCGTACAGTATAACTGACTGTCTTAACATTCGTATTGAAGATTCTCACTTTGACACTGGCTGAAAGTTGTTTTGAGTTGCATATGTTGTTCAACTGTAGGAATTCTGTCCTTGCTTTGTATAGCGACGAGTTCCACTCAACTGAATGTTCGACGATGATCCGTAGTGTCACAATTTGGTCTGTACACGACCGATCCTTACGGAATCCAGCTTCTTGATCTCCAACTTAGGCATCTTTCATCCGGTTCAGCAACACTCTGTTAAAGACTTTTCCTATTAATGCCTCTTTAGCTTTCACATTTGCTCAAATCTCCTTTCTTTGGAATCTTGATGAGGTGTCCTTCTTTCCAGTCCGTTGGCACTTGTTCCTCCTCCCAAATATCCTTGAATAGAAGGTGAAGCATGTTTGTAGTTGCTTCGATGTCTGACTTAAGTGCTTCAGCTGGTATGTTGTCAGGTCCAGCTGCTTTCTCGTTCTTGATTTGTCTGACGGCCATTCTGATTTCTTCCTTCGTTGGTGGGTTGACGTCAATGGGAAGATCTGTGTGTGCTGCTTCGATGTCCGGTGGATTCATTGGAGCCGGCCTATTCAGGAGTTTCTCGAAGTAATCTACCCATCTGTTCCGCTGTTGTCGAATTTCGGTGATTGGCTTGCCTTCTTTGTCTTTGACCGGTCTCTCTGGTTTACTGTATTTTCCTGCTAGTTTCTTCGTTGTATCGTAAAGCTGTTTCATATTTCCTTCTCTTGCAGCTTTTTCCGTCATCGTTTTTAGTTCTTCCACGTACTTCGTGCTTGCTCTCATGCTCTTCTTTATTTGCTCGTTTGCTTCTATGTATTCAGCTTGTGCTTGGACGTTCTTTGCTCGTATTCAGCTGTTCTTGTTCTTTCTTTCTTTGCTCTTGTCCAGTGTTTCTTTGGAGATCCATTCCTTATGGTGGTGCTTCTTTAGGCCCAGAACCTCTTGATACGCTGATTCCCAGTACTGCCAAGTTGTATCTCGTCATTTCCATTGCTTTTTGACTGGTCTTCCCGATCTCCCACATTGTTCGGACGTTCCATGTACTTATAAAAATCGTTGCTCTGGTTGTTGGAAGGAGCATCGGCCTAGTGACTTCCGAAGGAATTCGGCTTTCACCATGAAGTGTCATAATTTTTCTAAAAGAAGACCTTCTAACTCCCAGGGTAGAGTTTAAATGGTTTGAATAGTTTTTTTCTGGTTAGCATATTTTAAGCGAGTTATTTTTCTACGGGATGGGGTCGCTAACCCCATGCCTAACCCTCCTCCTTTACCCTGGCATAGGATCGGCAGTAACTCTAGAAGAGCTACAGACGGAGTTTTAATATACAACTCGAACGTTCAAATTCTAGACCACTGAACCGGCATCCAATAGTGTTAATGTATAACTTCAATCGATCCATAAGGACTCGTGATTTCAACCACGAAAATACTGCAATCTTTACAAATCCTCGTGTTGATAAAATTCAAGACAATTTGCTCGCAATAATCCAAGTACACTTATAGTTATATTAGAGAATCCTGTTTTAACAGCATGTAGTGTTAATGAAATATCTTGATCGTACATTTACTTCTTAGGACTACTCTATCCAGGTGATCTAGGTTTCAAACAGTAATATAGTGAACTAAAAAAATCAGTATTTTCAATAATCTTTGGTTACTTCTATCAAACGATGTTCAGTAAAAATTATTTTGCTTTTTAATATCAGATGGTGGTAAGTAATTAATACTGATCTGTCGTGTTTTACTTGATTATTCATAATGATTTAACTGAATGCAAATTAATGAACCATATAACAATAAGCTTCATTGGCATTTACGTTTAATTTCTAATAGGTAATCACTGTCTTGGTGAGTTCATTTGAATGTCGTATGGAATAATCAATCATTTATTGAGTTACTTACCACCACTAAACAACAGTATTAAAAGTGGTTAAAATACACAAAGCATCATCTTCTGAAAACAGTTTTCCAGTCAGTTTATCAAATAGCATAAAAATCTAAATCTTACTTTTATTGTGAAAATACATTGAAAGAACTAGAAAATCTACATCGTTTGATGAACAGTGTACTTTATCTAATCACTATAGTAATTAAGACGAATTGACCAATAATATAAATTGGATGTACAGATTTCAGTAATTTGAACAAGTTAGACAAAATTCCATATATTTAGTAAGAAGAACGAACAGAGTGAAGAGATTTCTTTTCACTTTTTTATCATGACACTACATGATTTATAACTATGAAATGATACATTTCGTGTAGTTGCGTAACGTAATAATTATGTCACGTTACAGTGACAATGAAATAACATTCAGTCATCAGATGTAAAACTCACTCCTATTCCAATATCTCAGGAAGGTAGAGTTATTCACATACTCACTTAATTACTTACTTACTTGCGCCTGTTACTTAAGTAGAGAGTGATTGTACAATTTTTCTGCTAATGGAAAACATAGGTCAATGAATATCGATTTGCATAGCTTCAGCAATTTTGAAAGATGAATTCGTAAATCACGCGGTGAATTTGATAGAATGTAGCGGGCATTCTTTAAAAACGCATTAAAGTCAACTTGATATTCTATGCCCACTACGTGACTAAGAGTAGAACTCCTAATCAATCTCATCTTTTTTTATCTGGATGTCCATGAATGGTTCTCCACAATACGATGAGGGACTTGCAAATATGTACGCTTTATACAACTGCCACTTTGATGAATGTGAATGGATGAAGCAGATTCAGCCAATCCGTTCATATTGGTGTTTCTCATTACAGAGAGATTGCAGAAAACATCATTTTGTTTGATTACAGTTAGCATTTTCCACATCCCATTTCTCATCCTTCGAGTTACTGTTTTATTCGTAGTGTCATGTAGCAATTATAAGTTTAAGGTTGGCACCTTCTTTGAAATGGTGAACATATTCGGTATGTTTTTAATTTCACTTATATGGTTGACGACGAAATTCGTTCGATATACATTATATCTTAGCTGGCTTCAATTAATCTAAAATGATCTTATCACTGAAAATGTGAAAATGAGAATTTTCATCACATTTATTTAATGTTTATTCGTTTTTCTTTTCAAATTATTAGGTTACACTGGTGCGTTTAAAAAGTTCATTTAGCGTCATTTACCGTACTTTGATTGAATGAACTATGATTATAACGATTTTTACAGTTAGATATGAAATATCTCCGCCAATTTCATTAAAGCATTTTTTCTACTTTCAGGGGAAACTTTCATAAGTATGTTTGAGAAAAAGTTTTCAAAACTCTTATCTGCCTACTTTCTAATCGATGTCAACAGTTTTATACTTGTCAGTGAGATGTTTCCAGCATGCGATTTCGATGGTTTTACGCAACGTGATTTTCTTGAACATTTTGTGATATAGAAATATTTGTCAGTCAATCTAGTCTGAAAATTCAACGTGGTTGTGACTTATCTGGCAACACTTTACTAAAAGTTTACTTATATGTTACATTAGTCATAAAATTACTAACGGAGTCTGTTATACATGCTGATCATATCCATTTGTTTGTTCAGCGTAATAAAGTACCAAAGAATTTCAGTGTTGTCGTTTTAAACGACAACACATCATTTTTTCTAGTAAACAGTGCATTAGATCATCTTTACCGAGATAATTTCCCATCACTATTACGTTTCGCTTTGCATGAAAACTATTAATAACTCAAATTAAATGTCTGTTTGTTATAATCCTCGGTCAATAGGTTTTTCATTCAGCATATCACTGAGTCATTAGATTCTAAGTTTTAAGGCTTGAAAAGATTTTGTGAATAATAAGTGTTTCTGCAGGGCCTACATATATCTAATCCTTAGCGTTAATTGGTGATTTCACACCCATCTGTCTAATAAACCATGAATACATAACTTTACCATTTGTTTGTCCTTCAACAATAATGTAATTCTACGAAAATTCACAACCTACAAGATTGTACAAACTAACATCATAATTTCGTTTCACCGACCTCAATGATACAAACTATATTGTTGATCGTTGTCATTGAGTACAAATTCTGATGTCCTAGAGTGAGAAAATATATCTTCTATGCAACAAGTGTTTAAAGAAGTTATCGTCATAGCCATAGTACTTCACAGTACTACATTCAGGATGAACTGTTGCGTCTGTAGTTGATCACAGATTGAAAACACAGAATGAAAACCGTGATGGACGTCGGTATCTGGGAGAGTATTTTGATTATAATTAGCAATAGTATTTATTTGTCTATATATCGACTGATTAGTTTACATTAATACACAGTAAAGCAGTGAGTAATGTCTCACAGAAAAACAATTTGAAACAAACATAAAACGACAGATTGTTACTTCATATATGATACGCTTAAAATCAATGGTTTCATGAAAATATATTTAGACAGTGAGGAGAAACATTAGCAAAGTGGAGAAATATGTACTGAAAGTGTCAGAACAATGCAGATATAACATTTACTTTACTCATGTTTTGCTTGATTTGCAAAAATATACTTTTCTCGTATCATCAATACTTATTATTTTCAACTATTGCTTTTATTTAGAGACATTCTATCATACACGTAAGCTGATTTTACATAGATGTAATATCTTTAGTTGAGTCATCACAAAATTAAGTTCTCCTTACTTCATATTTCACAGAACTCTTCGTTTCCATGGTTAATACCCTGTCATATCACTAATTAGCTTTTTCTCATAACATCATGTAATTGAGAAGTCGCTTAATGGTACTCATTAAAATGTGACGAAGCAGAACTCTTTCAAATCTACGATGATTAAATGAGCATAAACTGTTGTAACGGGTGTGACTGCAGGTTATGATAAGCAGCGTTTATATCGATCGATTCAGTGACACGTAAACACGTACGAACTACCTAGTGTCCTGATTGGCCCTGCTTCCCTGTCTATCCAAGACAGTTGAGTCCAGAACGCAAGTCACAGCCTCTGAGATATGGTAGCATAATATGTTGTTAACGGATTGGCTGAAATATGATGTTGATTTAACAGACGCCAACATCTATAAATACCCTTGATTTTCTGTGCAAAAATGAACCTCGGGATAAAGTGTTTTCACTCATACTTTTGTCTTCTCTCTGGAGTTCAAGTCGCTGTGTAGTTCTAGTCTGCGGGTTTCGGGAATAGCTTAGGAATCGTATATAGCGTTCAACCTACACGACTTATCATAAACACGTAAACTTAATTGCTAATTCAAATTGCTTTTGTATGAGGAGTGATGAATAACTGTACATGCCGTGTTTACTAAAAATGCACAACTGAGATTGAGATGGTTCAACCCTATGAGGAATATTAATATATTTTCATAAAATAGTATAGAGGCAAAAAGACTGTTGATATTACAAGATCTAAATAGTTTGTGGTATCACTGAATCAAAGTGAAATTTCCCTTCGAAATGGTCGTTTTGAATGTATCCATGTAATTCAAGGCTTTTGGCCACGAAGCGTAATTTTTTTCTTAAAATGTTTGGAAAGCTGATAAGTGTTAATTTATTTCCTAATAAATAGATCATGGAACCTATAACGGTAAGTGTTCTATGTCGTTTATCAATGTATTTAATCACAAATAATATGGTTCAAGAAGTAATTTAATTTGTGTATTAGTGTTTTCATGTTTTCAGGCTTTTTAAACAACCCATAACGTTGAAGGCGTTTAATTAAAAAGCGTTACCGTTCGAATGACACTGTCTGCCAATTAAATTAATTGAGGGATTTACAAAATTAAAAAGATACAGTCTCAACTGTAGATGTAATGCTATACGTTCACGAAGACGGGAACTGCTCTATAAATAATATTCAGATGCATCAAATCAGGTCACTATCCAAACTATATTGTACAGCGTTACGAAAGAAAAATGTATTCCAAAATAGAAAGACACTGAAACCCGGTGTTTTCAACGAAATCGACGCTTAGCATTACCATGTAAAATAGATAATGATGAATGATCTTCAGAGAAATATACTGAAAAAGACCTGGTGGGTGATCCAAGAACCCCTTCTGCTTCTGAATGAAGAAATATTAATAATTATTAGATAGTACAAGGAATCAGGATTTCTTTTTCTCAGTAAAGGACAATATATTGACAGAAGTAGTACCATATCAAACCACAAATTAAAATTTCAAGAACTAACTGACCAGAATGTTTTAAATAATCAGATAGAGAATGACCCGAACAGGTTTTGAAAGAAGATCAGATACAAACAAATATATTATTCAAGTTTATACGAAAGGATTGAATCAGTATGAACTCATCTGCCAAAATTGTATTGAATACCGAGGGCACACATACCGGGTATTCTATTAAGTTCAATTTCAGATACGGATTACTCAACCTATCATAACAAAGCAAAGTGAACGGCAACCATATTGAGATTAATCCACAAACAACTTGTAATGCGTAGCGTTAGGGATTCCTTCTTATTTGTTTACGAGATCAAAACTGCAATAACTAAGGAATGAACAATGTATCATCGATACTCTTGGAGACTGTAAAATATATATTTGACTAGCTTAGACAAAACAAAGTGGACACCGGAATTAACAAAATGATATGGAATATTAATAAAAAGGGGAATTTAGCAAATAAAGTACTTGGACAAGACAGTACATCACTTCGCTTGGGTTTTACACCTACAGTACTGAAAAACGTGGTAAGAACTCTCAGTAATCAAATACTTTATATATAATGATCGAGTCAGCATGAACTCATCTGCCAAAATTGTATGGGATACCGAGGGCACACATACCAGGTATTCTATAAAGGTTAATTTTAGATACGGATTACTCAACATATCATACTAAAGCAAAATGAAAGGTAACCACATTGAGATTAATCCACAATCAAACTGTAATGCGTAGCGTTAGGGATCAAAACTGCAATTACTAAGGAATGAACAATGTATCATCGATACTCACAACTGTTACAATTTTGGAAACTATAAAATATATATTTGAATAGCTTAGATAAAACAAAGTGGACACCGAAATTAACAGAAGGTTATGACAGATTATTAAGTGAAGATTTAGGCAAATAAAGTACCTGCACAAGACAGTACATCACTCTGTTTAGATTTTACACCTACAGATTTTACACATCTCAGTAATCGAATACTTTATATATGTCCCACTGATATGGTTGAAAAAGAGCTAATCACCCTGAGTAAAACAATTGAGATAAACGGATACCGAGAAACTTAGTAAACAATTTTGAGCAGTAATATTTGAATAAGAAAATATAGGAGAATATCACAATTTGTGTATAACTCATATCATTTTGCAGGTGTTTATTTGTTCAGTCTTCTAATTTGAAGAATTATAAAAGCTTCCCATTTTATGCTAATATATTTTCTACACAGATGCCCAGATTAGAACGATTGGTATGATTATCTTTTAAAATATTTGTAAATCTATCCAATATAGATCGTTAAGAAAGAAGTTTGGTAACTTAACCAATTCAGTAACAAAGTGAAATGGACTGTTGTTTCTATCACGTAATGTACAAACACACATTTAAGAACATTTCTAGAAGGAAACAATAGTTAGTAGCAGTGTATAGTTAATATATCACTGCTACCTAGAAAAGAACCATATGAAACAGTTTGACTCTCAAAAACACCATCTGCTTAACAACAAAGTTAATAACAAATCGTTAGGGAACTCAAATATATTCTTTATTCAATTCTTATCAAGCATTTTGTGAGTAATTTCATTCAGAAGTCATTTGCATGTAATAAGTACTACTCATTTAAATCATGAGATGGTTGGCCCATGAGTTAGCTTTTACTGTCAGTGATCGATCTTCAATTCACTGACGCACTAATTTGTGACTAGAATAGAGTCAAGGAGATGATTTAAGTATTAAAATAGTTGGAAAGCGTATATGCGTTGACATTTATGTGTCTTGTGTAAGTTAGTCATACTATGTTCTATAATTATTAATGTTCATTTAGTCGTGGTTATTCATCATTAGGAATGAGTTCTACTTATTTATATTAGCCTTTTTCCTTTGACTTTTCCTATTATAGCTAACCTAATCAATTCGACCTGTAAGATTATTCTAACTGTTCTAATTCTAATAAAATTCATCACACTTTGATATATTATTATTGTCGGTTGTAGTTTAAAACACTCTTTCAACTGCACGACCTTCATTCATGTCGTTCACCCTGGAGAATTTGAGAGAAAAATAACTTACCATTAGTACTCCAAAAAATAGTTCACATTAACTTACTTATGTACGCCTCTTACCGCTCGTATAGAAGTATAGATCTTACAACAGTTTTCTCCATCTAGCTCTGTCCTGGGCTATAGTTTCTAGTTCTTCCCAATCGTTATTCATTCTTTTTTGTCTCTATCCGACTATCAATGCAATTTGTTCCTCGGTATTCTTCATTTCCTTCTCTCTTCGGTATTTTGGGTTAGGGATTGCCTCGTGATCCATTTTGATGATTTCATCAATGTATGACTTGTACACCTCCAGCGTCTTTTCCCAATTTCTTCTTCAAGTGGAAGTTTGTCTGTGTAGGAAGTAATTTTCTAGAGATGCAACTATGAACAACTCCCTAGACTATGGTGTACAGTCTTAGCTCAGCTAAAGTCAGAACAAGTAAGCTATTTGGCTTGATAAACTTTATCTCCCCCTAGAACGTAAATTAACACTGTTAGTTAACAAAATAAAGAATTAGTACAGTCTATTAAGCGGGGTAAAATAAAGACATAGATAACATACCGAGCAGTAACTGGAGAATAGAAAAACAGAGTCAGCGAACTTAATATCGTTCATGATAAATATAAAGTTATGATGGGTGAATAAACAAACCATAATCATACAAAGTCAAAAAGAGTTAATGTAGTGGTGGACATTCCATGTTGTGATTGGTGAGTTCGTTTATCTATCACAAATTACAGTCCGTTCTCTTCCACAGTAGATTTTTACTGATGGTATCCGACCGATTGACATCGAGCGTCTTAAGTGGACAAATGTTTATAAGTACTTGCACATTTTTGATGTTGATCATGGTGGTCCTTCAAGATGCAGTTCCGTACAATAGAACTATCTTGACGTTCATACTGAAGATTCCGACTTCGATGTTGTCTGACAGTTGTTTTGAGTTGCATATGTCCTCCGATTTTGATAATGCAGTTCTTACTTTTCTAATCTCAATCTTTGCATCTGCATAAGATCCTCCTTGTTTTTCATTGATGCCAACCAGGTAAGTAAAACTTTTCACTGCTTCCAAAGCTTTTCTATCGAGTGTGATTTGGTCGATGCTCCTTGTGTTGTATTTCAAGATCTTGCGTCTTACTTGCGTAGGTTGAGACCTTCTGATGCAGAGTTTGCAGCTACACTGGCTGGCTTCAATTACATTTATTGGTGTGTGTGATGAAGAAGAGATAGTTCGTCTGCGAAGTCCGGATCATCTAGTTGCATCCAAGATGTTCATTGTATTCTGTGCTTTCCCTCATATGTGGAGGTCTCCAAAATCCAGTCGGTCATCAGAAGAAAGGAAGGAGAAGATTTCGCAGTATTGTCTGACTCTTTCTTTCACATGAAATGAGTCTGCCACCTGTCCTCAATGCACAACTTTGCATTGTAGTCCGTCGTACGAATTCCGGATGATGTTGACGATTTACTCGAGCACACAATAGTGTCGGAGAACGTTTAATAGTCAAGAAAGTTCCATTCCATTGATTGCTCAACAATGGTCCATAGTGTCGCAGATTGGTCTGTGCACAACCGATTCTTACGAAATCGGGTCTGTTCATCCCGAAGCTAACAGTCTACAGCATCGTTTATTCGATTCAGTAAATTTCCGTTAAACAATGTTCTTGGTACTTATATCAGTGTAACTCCTCTGTAGCTCTCACACTTGTTGAAATGCTTTCCTGGTAACTTGATGAATTATCCTTTTTCCAGTGTATCGGTACTTGTTCTCTCTCTCACATTATCCTAAATAGAATATGTAATATGTTGTCTGATGGCCGCGCTGATTTCTTCGTTCACCGAATAGGTGATATCTATAGAAAGGTTCGTAGGTGCTGCCTCGATGTCTGATGAGTTTAAAAGAACTGGTCTATGAAATAATTATTCAAAGGGATCTTCTAATCTATTTCATTGATCTTGAATCTCAGTGATCAACTTGGCTTATTTTTCTTTAACCGCTTGCTCTTGTTCACAATATTTCTCTACTAGCTATTTTCTTCTGTAGCCCTTCTAGGGTTACTGCCAGTCTCACATGCAGATAAAAAAGGAAGGATGGTCAGTACCACTTACCAGTAGAACACAAATTTGTTAAACAAAGTCAATCAGAAAAAAACACCTTAATCTATAAAGTACATAAAAATCAACTGTTGTTATTGAGATGAAAAATAAAATAAAATTCTCGACATTTATTACATACATTCTTCGCGAAATACAGATGATTATCTGTCTTTAGTAAAATTAAACCATTTCACTTAGGTAAACTTCATATTGACCATTCATAATTTATTAAAATGTTACCAAGGTAACAAATTTAAAAGTAAGTTCTCTTCATTGGATTCATATTTTTTTAAATGACACATCTGAAGTTAATTTAATCACGTATCTCAACAAACAACTGGAATGCGGGAAAAGTCTCAATTCAATAGTTAATATGCATATTTATTGATAAGCTTTCTGTGAATGACCAATTTTACTAACTGGCTTTTCATTCTGTTACAATGAGTGTAATACACTCGTAACACAAACATGTTATGATCAGCAAAAATCCAGTTATTAATTGTACTGTGTATATTAAACGGTCATTTTTCATCTTAATCTTTTTAGAATATGGAACTACTAGTAAGCTTTACCAATTCTTAACCGAAATCTTCAAAATTATGTTTGTGCAGCAAAGATATTATAGTCTTTTATATATACATAAAGTGAACCCAAATCTCCGTTTATATATATTGATATCAGGTTTACAGGATTATTCGATCATTCGACAAATAATTTTTAATCTGTCAATCTATGAGATGACTTTGGAAGAAAACTCATCAGCAAGCCTATATATATATATGGTCATACAAACATAATCAATAATAGAATTATAGATCGTTGCTTTTAAATAGATTATCACCCATGGGTTTCACAGACTAGAAGATGTACTTGAATGAATCTCTGAGATTGTGTAGAAGTTGTTCATATCCTTATAGAACATCCTTACATTCCAGTTCGTAGATTCTAGTGCAAATTCATGTGACACATATTTCTTTGATATAATTCATTTAAATTTTTCGAATGCTGAATCATGACAGATTATTATTTACCATGTCATACATGCAAGATCTTATGATAAATACAAGTTAAATTGTTGTCATTCATCTTATACATTTTTGAAACAATCAATTAAACAAATCATTTTCTTCCTTTTACTAGCAGCTTCTTCAAACAAGGGATAGTGAAGCTAAAAATTTGCATGACAATTTTAAATGAAACATTTATCACATTATGCAAGCTTCAGCAAAGCTTTTCATCGTAATACTTAACTGAGATTTGTTCAACTGGTTATTTTTTCATTGATTAAGTAACTACTGAAATATAACTCATTGAAATTCATGAGAACTTTTGACCTATTTTGGAACAAACCTTTTCGATCAGCAAAATGATTTTGAACTTCAATGGTAGTAACAGTAATAGTTCCACTTGCAATTTAGTCAGATCACAAAGCTACAAGCATATCGAGCGTATTTGAAGCGGAAAGGCGAATTAGTATATGAGAGTAATTACATAAGCCAATTTTTAGTGAAATTACATAAAGGCACAGAAAGGCAAAGCAAGGATTAATAATAAGACTTGAGTACATACATATATAGGGAGGAGAATGAATCGTCAATTGAGTCTATCGTGTGATCCACTGATCTTATCGGTACAAAGAAATATGCGAATTGTTATAACATTGTTAAGTAAGTTAATAAAAAGCGCTCAACCAAAATTAACCATAGTCGGAATTGTTTGTGAGATAGTTGCTATAATAAATCCTACCCCGCAAACAAAGACATACGAAAAAAATGTATGTGTTTGCACAAAGAATGGTAAACTAAACAGAATGGTTGCAATCGCTTGAAGATATCGGCTTATACAAATTAGAATGAAGTTAGTGTGTGCTGTGTATCGCGTCCATCCTTGAGGTTATATGAAATACTGGTGAAAAATAAAAGGAATATGGTATGATTTTGAAGGAATTATACACATAAGTGTAAGGGTTCATTAGATGTGCCGAGTACAACATCCGCGTGTACACAATGACGTGAATAATTATGGTCAATATTAAAAATAGTGGAAAATTATCAATATAAAATTGTAGCGACAGAGCGTTGCGTCCAAATCTCGTCGTCACTGGCGTCGACTCTTTAAGTTTCGTTAGGGTCGTTGATTCTTGAGACTCATGTTTCGTTGGTCTGACCGCCTTCGATATCTGTGTACGTGTCGATTGAAAATCGTTATCGATGAATGCTGGTTTCACTCGATTGATACTGATTAAACCCGTCTTTCCAGCTTTTTCTACGGTAACTGACTTATCCGTCCTCCCAATCACTTTGAACGGACCATCGTAACTTGGCTGTAAAGGTGATTGTACGTTTTATTTTCTAATGAATACTTGAGTGCTGTTATATAGTTCCTGCGACATGAACACTCGTCGTTGTTGTAGTCTGGGGTAGTACTATTTTTAAATCATTCATGTGCTGCTTTAGACGTTTCACATAGTTGGGTACATCAGTTGGCACAATTTTACCTGAAGCGGAAAATTCTCTGGATAAACGTAGAGTAGTTCCATATACCAACTCTGTTGGGCAACATCTCACATCCTGTTTAATTGTTGTTCTTAGACCCAACATGACTAGAGGGAGCTTATTAGCTTATTTTTATTGCTACCAATCACAGTCGTAAGATATGCTTTTGACTGTCTTTGCAGGTGTTCAACAATTCTGCTTACCATTGGATGATAAGATGTCGTGTGAATACTTTTAAGCTACTGGAAGAGTCGACTTTCAAATTGAGCTCCTCTATCGGTTGTGATAATCGATGGTACGCCATAGTAAGAAATCTAATGTCCGACTAGAGCTTTCGATACGGACTCGGCTGACATGTCTTTTATCGGTACCGCTACAGACCATCATGTAAGTCTATCGATACATGTAAAAATATAGTTGTGCCCATTCGAAACCTGCAGTGGTCCCACGATTTCGACGTGTATATGTTCTAATCTAGTGTCTTGGTGAGTGAATAAACCCATTGTGGAGCTAGTATCACGATGTACTTTGACATTTTGACACTTCATGTACGCCTGTGTCCAATTGTTCACATCGCGATTCATGTTTGTCCATAAGAAGTATTGTTTTACTTGTATGTTCCCACTGTTATTTAGGACTGCAATCGATCAGTCTCCTGTCAGCATATGTGCATACTGTGCGGATCACCTCGATATAACCTTAAGTCACAAGCTTTTTAAGCAAAGATGGATAGTGGCTAACAGTGGAATCCAGTTTGACGCGCGTTTCGTCCTATTTGGGAGTCGTCAGCTGGATTTACCTCCATCTCATAGTTGATGTTCACGCCGAGACTCGAATACAGTACCGTTCAGTACAGTATCATGACTCAGTAGCTAGGTGGATAATGCGATGGCGTTCGAAGCGAACAGTATTGGGTTCGAGTCTCAGAGTGAACATCAACTCTGGGCTGCAGGTAAATCAAGCTGATGAGTCGTGAAAAGGACAACACGCAGGTTTTGTATTCAACTGCTAACGACTATCCATCTTTGCCTAATTCAGGTATCTGTTGTAAGTTCATGGTTGACTGTGTACTGACATTGAATGTCCGAGCGAAGAATCATGTGATCAATTGTATTCAATATTTCATTTATTGAATAACGCTTATTGAAATACAAGAAAACAAACTGAAAATTTTTAACGCCAATGTAATGTTAAGTTAGTCATTAGTTTTAAATTATATACCATCTAGTCTGACTTAAAATACTTCCGATATCGAAATATAAAGCAAAAGAAAATGTATAACTTGACCATTGATCGTTTACGATATCTCTGTGACCTACCACAAATTATATGAATTATTTACCACATGAATCTGACATCAGTAAAGTTTACTTAACAATCTTTTTGATATTTGGTTGCCATCAGTCGGAATAAAACGAAAACATTTTTGATTAATTTCTGCATTTTTTATGTTCAACGCTGTTCCCATATACAAAAAAGGATATTCTTGCAACAATATAGGCTACAGTTTTATCTCATAGATGATAGCCCATTGACTGAGTATATAAGGCAGGCTAAATCTTCTAGTAGGATTATGGATTTACTCGGAATTATTCAGAATCCTGAACGCCAGTTGTGACTCAACACTGCGGGCACTATATATTGAGATTTAGATGGTGGTTGGAGGTAGTCAACAGGAAACCCTGGACCTGGGTTTCGTGCTACTTGGCACTCGTCAGCAAGGTGTACCTGTAAACTTGAGGGAACTGGTGCTCCCTGATGGATTCGATTTCATGTCACCACTGAGCTATCCGAGCCGCGACTGACCTCCTGTAGGACTGAGATGTAATCACAATTGATTGATCACTGGGTGGTGATCAATGTCATGCGTCCTTAGTCCTTAGTCCTTAAAATCAATATAAAATGTCTGGACTTGATGACAGAGCACATTTTCTTCCCGCTACGGACGGTAGCAACGTACCAAGCACAAGCTCTGTCGATAACTTATTCTTTAGCACTGTATTTCGTAGCGTCTCAATCACTTGAAGAGCACCATTAGAACTTATGAAAGAGTTAAGTGCTACTATTATGCTGTGAGAGATTCTCATTTCCATAGAGATCGGAAGCCGTATATTAAATTCGTATGTTGGAGAAATGGCCGTAGAACACCTAGCGGTTCCTAAAAGCCGAGTAGACGAACGAGGTAATTTGATTAGTGATGTTATAATTTTTCATAAAGGACTTTCGTGAACACTCAATGTACTTCCTTTATCTTTTGTAAGTTACCAACTATCAAAATAACGTCGATATGGATGCAAGGTTAAGCAATGAGGAGGAAGAACTTGTATCGATTAACTCAGAGGAGTTCACTGAACGAGATGACGACAATGACGAAAACATGTATGGCAACAGACTTTGTGATATTGGCAATCTTGCGCAACCGTCACATGAAACTACTGATGGAAGTGCCTGGATTTTTCGTCCTTGCGAAGCAATGCTTGATTTATTTTGTGCTTACGACTCATCACCACTTGTCCATGGAATCCATTGTCCCGTGTGCAGCGAGATAATGGAATCATAGCAACGCTTTTGTTCATGAAATTCGGAACTGATAAGAGAACGAGTAAAGACCCTATTCAGGGCCACACACAATTTAATTTAAATCCTTTTGTTTCAGTTCCTTATTTCAATGGCAAAGGTCAAGTGACGAAATCATCAAAACTCATTTAAGATTAATAATCATTATGTGATTATCACCCACGTATTCTAAATGGTTTTTAAGCTTCATCAAATATACGGTTTAAGTAAACGATTTCGTACAGGAAATGTCATCTAATGAACACTAATCTGTATAACAATAGTACATGCAAAACTTATTCAGAATGTTTCAATGTTTTGTCATATAGTTACGATAGACGAATGTAGTACTGCTAGTTCACTAGTATAACGACATTATTTCTATGGGAAAGGTCAACTGAACCAACATTGATGAATTCTAATTAAGCCTTAGTAATTAAACAATATAATCAATTGAGATTTATAAAAATTTCGTGGATTAGATCATTAAAGGGGAATTTCGGGAAAATCTTATAACTGGTTTTAACAGTTGATAATAGTAATTACTGACTTTGAAATGTTGTCAAATGTTTAATACACAATTAGTAAAGAAATTATTGTTATAACTTGTTAATCTCTGTGCCCTGTAATTGTGTAACGCAACGACGACGACAATCAGAGAGCAGCGAATTATCAATCGAATCAGTGACGCATAAAACACGTGCGATCAGCCTAGAGTCCTGATTAGTCCTGCTTCCCTGTCTAGCCCAGCCAGTTGAGTCCAGCAAATCAATCTCAGCCTCTGCAATATGAATCATTTATTTCAAGCACTATTATTGTTATTATTATTATTTTTTCAACACTAATATTGGAACAAGAGGGCACCAAATATATATGCACCACACCATATTTGTGTGCGCAGACCGAAGCAGGTGGTTTTCTTAGGGGGCCACAACCCTGCCACGCGAAGGCAGTGAGTAGGACTTCCCTGGCAGAGGCTGTATACGCGTGGCCATGTGAAAGCATTTTGAGAGGGAGGGAGTGCCCACCCTACTCTCGTCCATAACAGGGCATTTGTGGGTTTATATACCAGTCAAACCGACCACAACGTACCATAAAATAGAAAATAACATATGTACAATATTTGGCCCAAAGTGGTTGTGAATGAGGGAGATAGTAATTAATAGACAGGTCATAACTCAAGAATGGTAAATCGTATAGTAATAGTCTATGAGTGAAATCAAAGCTTATAATAAGAGTGACATGAATATGAACAGTTTAGTTCCATAACAATTACACGATAAAAATATACTCATAGTAATAGCCAATAAATCTATCCCAAGAATTACCATTCATTATTCATATCGAGATATAACAATTATTCATCAAAGTATTTCCTTTAGTTTTTTCTTAACACATCGTATGTTATTTTAATAAACGTTAAATGCGTGTCAATATATCCACAAGATTTTTTACACCTAATGTCAACAGCAAGTGTTTTGTTAGCGCACAGCCTGAGCAAATCATTATCTGAATGATATTGCAAACGTTACTTATTTATAGACTGGAATTATTTTTGCAAATCAGGGTTTCCTCTTGTAAAACATAATAGACGAACAATAAAAAAACTGTATGTACATATTTTGTCATGTGTGAATATTATTCATTTAACGCCGTGCAATTAATGATAACCCGTAATTTCATTACAAAATTCGCTTATGAAATTTCTCGCATATACTTATTCAGCACTCCGCTTCAAATACGCTCGATATGCTTGTAGCTTTGTGATCTGACTACATTGCAAGTGGAACCATTACTGTTACTACCATTGAAGTTAAAAAAACATATTGCTGAACGAAAACGTTTGTTCCAAAATAGGTCAAAAGTTCTCATGAATTTCAATGAATTATATTTCAGTAGTTACTTAATCAATAAAAAAATATCCGTTTGAACAAATCTCAGTTAAGTATTACGATGAAAATCTTTTCTGAACTTTGCATGATGTGATCAATGATAAATGTTTCATTTAAAATCATCATCCTCTAAGTTGTCTCTTTCTCCGTAACTTTTCTATACAAAATGCACGTAAAAAGCAGAAAATGATTTGTTTAATTGATTGTTTCAAAAATGTATAAGATGAATGACAACAACAACAACAATCTATCACTTGAAATTACACTAGAATCTTCGAACTGTAATGTAAGGATGTTCTTTTACGATATGGACAACTTCTACACAATCTCAGAGATTCAGTCAAACACATAGTTTAGTCTGTGAAACCCATGGGTGATAATCTATTTAAAAGCAACGATCTCTAATTCTATTAATGATTATGTTTGTATTACCATATATATAGACTTGTTGATGAGTTATCTTCCAAAGTCATCTCATAGATTGACAAATTAAAAATTATTTCTCGAATGATCGAATAATCCTGTAAACGTGATATAAATATGTGAAGGGAGATTTCGGTTCACTTTACGTATATATAAAAGACTATAATATCTTTGCTGCACAAACATAATTTTGAAGATTTCGGTTAAGAATTGGTAAAGCTTACTAGTAGTTCCATATTCTAAAAAGATTAAGATGAAAAATGACCGTTTAATATACACAGTACAATTAATAACTGGAATTTTGCTGATCATAACTTGTTTGTGTTACGAGTGTATTACACTCATTGTAACAGAATGATAAACCAGTTAGTATAATTGGTCAGTTACATATTAACAGATTACAGGAGGCTTATTAATAAATATACATATTAACTATTGAATTGAGACTTTTCCCGCATTCCAGTTGTTTGTTGAGATACGTGATTAAATTAACTTCAGATGTATCATTTCAAAAAATATAAATCTAATGAAGAGAACTTACTTTCGAATGTATTACCTTGGTGAGAATTTAATGAATTATGAATGGTCAATGTGAAGTTTACCTAAGTGAAATGGTTTTATTTTACTAAAGACAGATAATCATCTGGCGAAATTTTTTTATATTTTTCATATCAATGACAACAGTTGATTATTATGTACTTTATAGATTAAAGTGTTTTACTCTGATTGACTTTGTTTAACAAAGTGGTTTTCTACTGGTAAGTGGTACTGACCAACCTTCCTTTTTTATCTGGACGTGAGACTGGCAGTAACCCTAGAAGGGCTACAGAAGAAAAAAAAGGGATTGTGAAATATTGTGAACAAGAGCAAGCGGTTAAAGAAAAATAAGCCAAGTTGATCACTGAGATTCAAGATCAATGAAATAGATTAGAAGATCCCTTTGAATAATTATTTCATAGACCAGTTCTTTTAAACTCATCAGACGTCGAGGCAGCACCTACAGACCTTTCTATAGATATCACCTATTCGGTGAACGAAGAAATCAGCGCGGCCATCAGACAACATATTACATATTCTATTTAGGATAATGTGAGAGAGAGAACAAGTACCGATACACTGGAAAAAGGATAATTCATCAAGTTACCAGGAAAGCATTTCAACAAGTGTGAGAGCTACAGAGGAGTTACACTGATATAAGTACCAAAAACACTGTTTAACGGAAATCTGCTGGATCGAATAAAAGATGCTGTAGACTGTTAGCTTCGGGATGAACAGACCCGATTTCGTAAGAATCGGTTGTGCACAGACCAATCTGCGACACTATGGATCATTGTTGGACGATCAACTGGATCGAACATCCTCGACTGTGAGAAAGTAATTGACGGTAGTTCTATTGTACTGTGCTGAAAGTCGAAGAACCACCACAACCAACATGAAAAATGTACAATTATTTTTAAATAGATGTCTACGCAAGACACTCCATGTCAATTGGGCAGATATCATCAACAATAATCTACTATAATGGAGAACAGACTGCAAAGTGCGATCAATAAACGAACCCAGAAATGACGACATGAAATGCCCACCACCACATTAACTGTCTTTGATCTTATATGACTGTGGCTTGCTTATTCATCAATCATATCTTTTTGTTTATGATCATCGATATCAATTTCGTTGACTCATTCTTCTATCCTCTAGTTACTGTCCGGTATGTTATTTATATCACTTTTCCCTGTTGAATAGACTGTATTAATTGTTTACTTTATGTATGAATGGTGCTAAATTACGTTTTACAAATATATGAAGTTTATGAAGCAAGATAGGTTAATTGTTTTCCCTTTGGTTAAACTCTGTGTTCGACTGTCTAGGGAATAGTTTAGAATTGCATCTGTGGAAGATTAATTCCTCCACAGACGAACTCGCAGTTGAAGAATAAATTGGGAAAAGACGCTAGAGATGAGGAATTCATCAAAGTGGATGACGAGGCAATCTCTAACCTGGAATCCCAAAGGTAGAAGGAGACGGAGAAGATCGAGGAACAAATTGCATCAGGATAAGGATGGCGAATTCAAATGAATGAATAACGATTGTAAAGAAATGGAAACGACAGCTCAGGGTGGACGAAATGAATGAATGACATGCAGTTGCAACAGTTTTTAAACTACAACAGACAAGTGTTATTAATTTATACGCAGCTCTTAATAATACATCAAAGTGTAATGAATTTCATTAGAATTAGAATCGTTATAATAATCTTACAGGTCGAATTGATTAAGCGAACTAAAATAGGAAAAGTCAAAGGAAAAAGGCTAATATAAATAAGTAGAACTCATTCCTAATGATGAATAACCACGACTAAATAAATCTTAAGAATTATAGAACAAAGTATGACTAACTTACACAAGACACATAAACGTAAACATATACACGCTTTCCAACCATATGAATACTTAAACCATCTCCTTGACTCTATTCTAGTCACAAATTGGTGAATCAGTGAATTGAAGATCGATCACTGACAGTAAAAGCTAACTCATGGGCCAACCATCTCATGATTTAAATGAGTAGTACTTATTACGTGCAAATGACTTCTGAATGAAATTACTCACAAAATGCTTGATAAGAATTGAATTAAAAATATATTTGAGTTCTTAAACTATTTGTTATCAACTTTGTTGTTAAGCAGATGATGTTTTTGGGAGTCAAACTGTTTCATTTGCTTCTTTTCTAGGTAGCTGTGATATATATACACTGTTACTAACTATTATTTCCTTCTAGAAATATTCTGAAATGTATGTTTGTATATTACGTGATAAAAAGAAAAGTCCATTTTACTTTGTTACTGAATTGGTTAAGTTACCAAACTTCTTTATTAACGATCTATATTGGATAGATTTACAAATATTTTAAAAGACAATCTTACCAATCTCATTAAGCTGAGAAGCTGTGTAGAAAATATATTAGCATAAAATGGGAAGCTTTTATACTTGTTCATATTAAACAACAGTGAACACATAAATACATGCTAAATGATATGAGTTATACACAAATTGTGATATTCTCCTATATTTTCTCATTCAACTATTACTTCTCAAATTTGTTTACTAAGTTTCTCGGTATCCGTTTATCTCAATTGTTTTACTCAGGGTGATTATCTCTTTTTCAACCATATCAGTGGGACATATATAAAATATTCGATTACTGAGATGTGTAAAATCTGTAGGTGTAAAATCTAAACTGAGTGATGTACTGTCTTGTGCAGGTACTTTATTTGCCTAAATCTTCACTTAATAATCTGTCATAACCTTCTGTTAATTTCGGTGTCCACTTTGTTTTATCTAAGCTATTCAAATATATATTTTATAGTTTCCAAAATTGTAACAGTTGTGAGTATCGATGATACATTGTTCATTCCTTAGTAATTGCAGTTTTGATCCCTAACGCTACGCATTACAGTTTGATTGTGGATTAATCTCAATGTGGTTACCTTTCATTTTGCTTTAGTATGATATGTTGAGTAATCCGTATCTAAAATTAACCTTTATAGAATACCTGGTATGTGTGCCCTCGGTATCCCATACAATTTTGGCAGATGAGTTCATGCTGACTCAATCATTTTGTATAAACTTGAAAAATATATTTGATGGTCTCTGATCTTCTTTCAAAACCTGTTCAGGTCATTCTCTGTCTGATTATTTAAAACATTCTAGTCAGTTAGTTCACGAAATTTCAATTTGTGGTTTAGTATGGTACTACTTCTGTCGATATATTGTTCTTTACTGAGAAAAAGAAATTCTGATCCTTTGTTCTGTTTTATAACAAATAATATTTCTCCATTCAGAAGCATTTTAATAGCTTCGCTGTGCTTCTTCGTAGGAATACTTCCGTAGTTACATTTATTGTTCGTGAACTGGTAACAAGAGTCTAGAAGATTTGATTTTCTGTGTTCTGGTTTTTGATCAAAATGTGCACCTAGAACTTGTGTCGGACTATATAAACGTAACCAAATAATTTCACTTCTAAGGATATAATATCTAGTTTTTCCTTGATGGATTATTGACAAAGACTTTCAGATTTAAAGAAAATTTGGTTTTCAACTGTTGATTGTCCATCTCTTTAGGTTACAAAATGAGTTGTTTCCTTCCTATCTGTTCTGTTAATTTCATAACATACTTCATAAACGGTGTTTTGGGATCGTTCACCAGATTTTTTTCAGTATATTTCTCTGAAGATCATTCATCATTATCTATTTTACATGGTAATGCTAAGCGTCGATTTCGTTGTAACCACAGGTTTTCAGTGTCTTTCTATTTAGGAATACAATTTTCTTTCGTAACGATGAGCAGTATAATTTAGATAGTGACCTAAATCGATACAGCTATCTAGAATTTATACAGAAGGTTTCGTCTTCGTGAACGTTTGGCATTACGTACACAGTTGAGTATATGTATGTTTAATTGTGTAAATTTCCTCAATTAATTTAATAAACAGACAGTGTCATTCGAACAGTAACGCTTTTTAATTGAGCGCTTTCAAAGTAATGGGTTGTTCACAAAATATGAATTGTATAAAAGGCCCCAAAACATGAAAACACTAATACACAAATGAAATTACTTCTTAAACCATCCAGTTTCGACTGAAGATATTAATTGTGATCAAACACATTGATAAACGACAACGAACACTTACTGTTATAGGTTCCTTCATCTTTTTATTAGGAAAAAATTAACACTTAATCACCTTTCCAAACAATTTAAGAAAAAAATTACACTTGGTAGTTAAAAGCCTTGAATAACATGGATACATTCAAAACGACAACCTCGAAGGAAAATTTTACTTTGATTAAGCGATACCACAAACTACTTAGATCTTATAAATTTAACAGTCTTTTTGCCTTTATACTATTTTATGAAAATATATTAAAATTCATAGTAGGGTTAAACCATCTCAATCTGAACTGCGTCTTTTTAGTAAACACGGCATGTACAGTTATTCATCACTCCTCATACAAAAGCAATTTGAATTAGCAATCAAGTTCACGTGTTTATGCTCATTTAATCATTGTAGATTTGAAAGAGTTCTGCTTCGTCACATTTTAATGAGTACCATTAAGTGACTTCTCATTTTAATGTTGTTACGAGAAAAAGCTAATCTGTGATATGGCAGTATATTAACCATGGAAACAAAGAGTTCTGTGAGATATAAAGTAGGAATAATTTAATTTTGTGATGACTCAACTAAAGATATTACATCTATGTAAAAATCAGCTTACATCCTGTATAGAATGAATCTAAATAAAAGCAATAATTGAAAATAATAAGTACTGTCGACATGAGAAAAGTATATTTTTACAAATCAAGCAAAACATGAGTAAAGCAAATGTTATATCTTCAATGTTTTAACACTTTCAGTACATATTTCTCCACTCTACTAATGTTTCTCCTTACTGTCAAAATATATTTTTATGAAACCAATGATTCTTAGCCTGTCGTACACGAAGTAACAATCAGTCGTTTTATGTTTGTTTCAAATTGTTTTTCTATGAGACATTACTCATAAATAGTCTATGCTGCTTTGTTTTGCATTAATGTAAACTAATCAGTCGATAAATAGACAAATAAATACTATTACTAATTATAATCGAAATACTCTTTCAGATAGCAACGTCCATTACGGTTTTTCATTCGGTATTTCCAATCTGTGATCAACTACAGACGCAACAGTTCATCCTGAATGTAGTACTGTGAAGTACTATGGCTATGACGATAACCTCTTTAAACACTTGTTGCATAGAAGATATTTTTTCTCACTCTAGGACATCAGAATTTGTACTCAATGACAACGATCAACAATGTAGTTTGTATCATTGAAATCGGTGGGACGAAATTATGATGTTAGTTTGTACAATCTTGTAGGTTGTGCTTTTTCGTAGAATTACGTTACGGTTAAAGAACAAACAAATGGCAAAGTTATATATCGGCTTTTAGACAGTTATGTGTGAGGTCACACACTAAGAAATAAATATCTGTAAATTGTTTAGAAACGCTAATTACTCACAAAATCATTTCAAGCCCCAAGATCGAAATGAGTGTCAAGTAATGAATTTGGAATCTAATTACTCAGTGAAATGCTGAATGAAAAGCCTGCTGATTGGGCAAATAAACAAGTAGACATTTTTTTTCGAATTATCAATAAATTTCTTGTAATGCGAAACCTATCAGTGTTGAACAATTGTCCGGGTAAAGATGATCTAATCCATTGTTCACTGGAAAAAATGATATACTATCATTTCAAATGAGAAAAAATGTCTGGCCAAAAAACTGAAATTCTCTCGTACGTTCTATAGAAAAATTAGAAATTTGAAAACTTTGGTGGTTCACAAAATCTCTCGATTATTCATATGTTGAATGAAAATTGCAATTCTGCACAGAAAACTTCAAGAATGGACAAAATCCATCCAACTGATCAGCATGAATTTATACAACGTTGGTAATGTAACATATGAGTAAACTATTATTAAAGCGTTGCCAGATAAGTCACAACCACGTTGAATTATCAGACTAGATTGAATGATAAATATTTCTTTATCACAAAATGTTCAAGAAAATCACGTTGCGTAAAACCATCGAAATCGCATGCTGGAAACATCTCACTGACAAGTGTAAAACTGTTGACATCGATTAGAAAGTAGGTACATCAGAGTTTCGAAAACATTTTCGCAAACATACTTATGAAAACATCCCCTGAAAGTAAAGAAAGTGCAAAATAAAAGTAACCGAGATATTTCACACCTAAATGCAAAAATAGTTATGATCATAATTCATTCAATTGATGTACGGTAAATGACGCTCAATGAACTTTATTAACGCACCATTGTGACCTAAACGTTTGAAAAGATAAACATATCAAACTGATGAAAGCTCCCATTTTCTGTGAAATTCACAATCAAACATATAAATAAAATGAGAATAAAACCGAATGTATCCAAAGAAGGTACCGTGCTTAAACTTATATTTGCTGAATGACATTTCCAAGTGTTGTGACGAAACAGTAAGTGTAAGGAAATTTATTCACTCCGTTCTTCATGCTAAACATGTGTAATTTTGTTTTACTTAAAATTACTGAAATTTGTTTATTTAATAAATTGTTTTTAGACAACCATGATGGTCAATTGACTGATGAACTCAACTTTCAAATTACTATTATATTCATAAAAACCCCTTTCTGATAATAATCATCAAATGCTCACTAGTAGCTGGCTTTAAGAGGTATTTTCTGGAGTTCTAGTGAGAATCAGTGACTGATGGAGTTCAACTGGGATAGTAACTCACTGGAGGCAATGGTTGAGGCTGCCTCAATTTTTAGATTGCTTGATTTTAGACACTAACAACGTTGAATGATGGTTCAGTGATTTGGAGTTTAGGCGTTCGAGTGCGAAACCTAAAGGTCTTGTGTTCGAATCCTGTGGGTCGAGATCGTGGATGCACACTGCTGGAGCTTTTCATAATAAGATGAAACAAACGTCCAGTGTTGCCAGGTTTTCCATGTTGGTCTAGCTTCAGTTGACTAATGAATAATTTATTCATTGAATGTGAGATTTATTAGATATTTTGTTAGTCAACTGGCCCCAGTTACTATATTGAAAAAATGATGTATACTGTTGAAGAAAAAGAGAATTCAGCGAAGAAAATTCTCTTTTCGACGAAATCATTTACTTCAGCTGCAGATTTGTATATACAGTTATATGGAAAATATATGTCTATTGGAGGATAGAAAATATTGCATCACCAAAATGGATTCGAGAATAAATAACAGATGAGGTTACGTACTGATCAAGAGGTAAGAATGAAAATAATATATGGGTCAGATAATGATCCAATTGTCAAATATGAAGCAAAGTGACAAATACAAAGGCCATAATAATAAACTGTATAATAATCAAGAAAACTTGTATAAGTTAGGAATGACATTAATAACATATCAGAGTTTAAAATGCAAAATAGTAACATAAAAAATTCGATAATAATCGGATAAAAATACAGAAAAACAAGAAAAACAAAACAGAAGCATACCCATCAAGGGAATTAGGGCCAAGGCAGGATGAGATGTTAGACAAATCGCTTCTGCACGCAAAGTTCAGGGTTGAGATTGTGAATTACCGGGCCTCAGCAGTGCATAAAATATGGTTTCGACACTCCCTTCGATCCAGTCCCTTTGACTCTGTAGACTACTTTGAAAGAAGGGTCCTTTGCAGCGTTGTGTCCACAGTTAAGTAAATGCTCCTGTATCGAACTAGTAATTGTTTTACGTTCTCCTCCTTTTAAGAACCAGGCAGGATAGTGTTCCGAGATGCGTTTGGATAATGATCGCTTTGTACGGCCTATGCAACGTGCCCCACATGAGCAATTGAATTTCTATATACATATTGATGATGTAGACCAAAGCGGAAGTTTGTCTTTAACACATCCCAGAATGGTAGATCGGCTAGACAAAACAATTCTGAGCTTAGTTGCGTGGAATGTTTTATTCGACGATTTTCAAATCCGTTTATTTAGGAATTCAGTAGCCGTGTCTGCCTTATATTCCATCTCCATAAAAATAGTCTTCTTCCGTACTGTCGATGCTTTTTCGTGAAGTCTGGGTGTCAAGTGGCTATCGGTGAATCTAGGTATATAACCATTTCTGATTAGGGTCTGTTGGAGATGAAATAGTTCCTTATCTGTTGTGTCATAGGAGCAGATTCACTTGATTCTCAAGGATAAAGAGTGAATCAAGTTCCTCTTTCTACTCAATGGGACCCAACTATGTAAATTTGTGTATTGTCCGTTCCAGATCGGTTTTCTATTTATAGATCTCTGTAAGAAAACCATCAGGCATTCTCTTTAAACGGACGTCAAGAAAGTGAAATCCATGGTTTAACTCTGCTTCTAAGGTAAACTGAATTGACGGGTGACAATTATTGAAAATATTCAAGATTTCATTGAGGCCCATGTCTTTTTGACAAATAATGAAAGCGTCATCCATATATCTCATAAATAAATGAAATCTCTCGATTATTGGTCGAAGTAACAAATTTTCTAGATTGGCTACGAAACAATCAGACAAGAGAAGATCTAATGGAGAGCCCATTGCAACTCCATCTGTCTTTCTATAGAAAACATCATTACATCTAAATTGCACGTTGAGAGTACATCGTAGAAGTAGTTCCTTGAGATAATGTTTTGGGATACACATAACATGATTATTGTTTTTAATAAATTCATATAAAAAAATAGTTTCTGTGACAGGGACAGCATTCTTATGAACCTTTGGTAGTCCGTATAGTCTTAGTATCACAAAACCCGATGGTTTGAGATGCTCATAAAGGTCATAATTGATAGTAGACTCATCTCTCAATTTCCTTAGGATTTTAATTGACATCTGTTCCATTATTTTCAGTTGTGTATTTTTGAAAGATTTATTCGGAGAATTTGACAGGATCAGATAATATTGAATATATTTTGGAGATATAGTCAAGGCGATCCATAAGGATATTTATCTGACCCATATATTATTTACATTCTTACCTCTTGATCAGTACGTAACCTCATTTGTTATTTATTCTCGAATGCATTTTGGTGATGCAATATTTTCTATCCTCCTATAGACATATATTTTCCATGTAACTGTATATACGAATCTGCAGCTGAAGTAAATGATTTCGTCGAAAAGAGAATTTTCTTCTCTGAATTCTCTTTTTCTTAAACAATGACACTATGGGTTTTTTTTAAATTTTACTGTTTATCAAATGATGCAGATTTTCGAGCTCATTCAATACAGTTTAAGCATAATAGTAAGATTTAGATTTTTATGTTGTTTATTGAAGTGACTGGAAAACTGTTTTCAGAGAACGATGCTTTGTGTATTTTAACCACTGTTAATACTGTTGTTTAGTGGTGATAAGTAACTGTCAATAAATGAATGATTATTCCATACGACACTCAAATGAACTCACCAAAACAAAGATTAGCTATTAGAAATTAAACGTAAATGCCAGTGAAGCTCATTGGTATATGGTTCATTAATTTGCACTCAGCTAAATCTTTATGAATAAACATGTAAAACACATCAGACCACTAATAATTACTTACAGTGTGGATCTGTTAATGAAAAAGTAAAATAATTTCTACTGAACATTGTTTGATAGAAGTAAACAAAGATTATTGAAAAACCTGATTTTGTAGTTCACTATATTACGGTATAAAACCTTGATCACCTGGATAGAGTGGTCCTAAGAAGTAAATGTACGGTCAAGATATTTCATTAACAGTACACGCTGTTGAAACAGGATTCT